GTGCAAAGGACTACATATTTGAAAAATCCTTTCAACAAACAGACAAAAGCAAATGTTCAAAGACTACTGCCTGGACTGCAAAACATTTTTTGGAGTAAGGACTATGTTTTAATCACCATTCTAGCTGTCATGCCAAAAGCAGAATCTCAGACCTACCAGACACCAACAAATGCCCAAAAAATTGATAAATTAGTGATAACAATTTCTAACTATTGTTTTTAATTAAATATTATTTCAAGCCCTAATCAATTTTATGCCTTCTTTATCACTTACCTCCCAAAATGATCATGAACCAATCCATTTGTAATCAATTTATGTAAATAAAGTAGATTAAATATTTTTCCAAAGGTGCATGAGAATATTTATGAGATAACAGGTAACATAATTTAGGCACAAGAAGTCAATGCATTCTTTCCTCCAAACAAGCTATTTGAGTCCAAACTCCCTTTTTTTTAATGTACTTAGCAATATAAGATACTTTTAGTGGAATTTATTAAAATAATTGGAATGAATTAAAAGAATCTTGGGGCCTTGCCACAACACATGGCACAGCAGGTTAAGTTGCTGCTTGCAATAGCATACCATATGGAGTGCTGGTTAGTTGCAGATGCTTTGCTCTGGACCTAATTTTCTACTAATGCACCTGAAAAACCACTGGAAGATGGGGTGCAAGTAACCTGGCCCATTCCCATCCATCGGTGACACCTGGATGGAATTTCAGGATGCTGGCTTTGCCCTGGCCCAGCCCCAGCCACTGTGTTCATCTGTGGCATGAATCAGTTGACAAAAGATCTTTTTCCCACTCCCTCTCTTTCACTCAGCCTTTCAAATTAATAAAAAATAAATCTTTTTTAAAAAAAGGCAGGAAGGCTTGATTTTAATGTTTGAAATAATCCTTAAAGGGATTTCCCAACAATATGTAGGAAAATCATTTCTATATTGAAGTTAATAATTAAGGACACATTTTATAAGACACTCACAATAAGACACTCACATACAAATCCCTTTGGACATTACTAGCAAGTTTTAGGTCTTTTCCAATGAATACCTGTTGTGTTTTACATGTTCAATATGCCTTCTCCTTTCTTTTGACAACAGAATTCCCCTTTTCTGTGAAGAACCTATGACACTGGTTTAAGTTTTATACCACTCATTCCAATGTCAAAGTTCACTCTTTGACCAAAATCCCCCAGAGGCAAGTACTCTGCACAAACCTAACCAGACCATCCCCTCAGTTATAATGGTTGTTTCAGAAATGGCCACATGACCCAAGCTTAGCCTCACCAGGATGTTTGTCAATGCTGGCAGGAAAAGATGCTTTTACTGCAAGGTAAGGACAGTGAAAGCCTTGGGTTATCAGAGTGGAAGGCAGAGGCAATAAGGGAAAGGTAGAGGAGCCCTTGTCCTAAAGGTATTACATGAAACACTGCATCCAGGCAAGCCTAAAGTCACTGGGCCTCCAGCCAATGGAACAAATACATATGGTTTTTCCTTGCACACTCCTTTCCCCTAAAACCTAAATGTCTGCTGACTAACATAGCAATTCTTGTAAGCTAAAGGCAGACAGAGCAAGTGTGACAGTCCCCATTTTAAAAAGGCAGATGCATGCTCAGGGAAGAATACGGGGCATTATAAATCTGAGGGCATTTGAAAACAAGCCTTTTCATCAAAGTATCAACATCCATACATTTTTATCAACTAAGTAATTTTCCGGGCAAAATTTGGTAAGCTAAAAAAAAAATCGCTGATCAATCTTCATTTAGCAGATACTCATTTTTTTTTTATCGAAGAATTACTTTTTGGTTTGTTTGGTTTTGTTGTTGTTGTTGTTGTTTGGTCCTGTAGAACTTTATCAAGTGTAGCATCTAAACCTACATGCCCTTTTCTGAGACCTCTGGCCAGGGGCAAATAACAGTAACATTATTCCCTTGATGTTTCATCAATAACAAATTTTGCTGGAAACAGCTTTGTCATAGTATTTTTTGGATTGAAAACTATTCTAAGTATTCCTTAGAATTTCGCTATGACTGATAGATCACATTTAATTCCTGGCTAACCCATAACAAAGTTGGATACTCTCCTCAGATACTTCAAGGCTATTTTAACTACTGAGCGCTTCACCAATTTCAAAAATGTTTTCATTTATGTATTTCAGGCACAACTGTGGCAGCTGTGCTCGTAGCATGCATTTTTTAATGCCCTCCAAGTTAGAGACCAGGATTCTGTTAATGAATGTATGTACTTTTAAAACAATCAACTCTATGGAATGAATTCCATGCTTTTCTTTTGAAGTATTAAAGCTATGGAGAGGATCCATGGGTCATCCAAGTCCTTAGGTAAGCTAAGGCAACTGTACTCCCAGCATACAAACTAACAGCTCAATCAGGGGAGTGTACTTCTCAAAGAGCTGCGTCCCAGCCAATCACAGCAGCAGAGCTTCCATCACTCACAGGCTGCCAACTGATCAGGCCACGTTCAAGAGGCAAGCAGCCCAGCTGTCCCCAGCCGAGCTGTGTCTGTGCCTGCCTTCCACTTTCTGTCTATAAATGCCATAGAGTGCCACGCTCTGAACGTGTTCTGCAGCAGATGCGCTCAAGTGCAACATTGGGTTTAATGAGTTTCACAAAATAGCTTTAACAATAGCTTGGGCAGAGAAGCTGGTTTCATTCAGGTTTCTCAACAGAGGCGCTTTGAGGGTAGATCCATCTTTGGTGAGAAAGGTTACCTGGTGCACTACAGAACTTCCGGCAGAATGGTGGTCTGTGTTCACTAGAAGTCAACACACATCCTTCCTGATTCTGCCCATCTAAACAGTCTCCAGACATGACCAAACGCCCCCACAGGGGAGGGGAATCACTATTACTTTATCATCATTTTTTTAAATATCCAGAACCTATACTCAAGAGAAAACCAAATGAAGCAGTAATTCTCACATTGGTCAGTGTGCTCCCAACACAGACCTTCCCAAGAAGTGATAAAGTTTTAGCTATTCTGGGAGTTTACTTCTAAAATTCTTTAATACACGTAAGATGAGGCTATCCCCAATGTCAAAGAACTTACTTTTCAATTCAAAGAAGTTGGTAAAATTCTCAAGGTTCAATTCCAAGTAAATACTGAGCTAAAACTTAATTGAGACCACCACACAGCTCCTTTTCATTTATAAATATTTCCCAGTTATGGCACAATTCTGTATTTCCTTAACCCAAAATCATTGATCACAAACTCTATTATAGCCCAAAGATATAAACTGAAATTACAAAAATACATGTATTGCACAACCCTGGCTATTTTGGCCATCTGGGAAATGAACCAGTGGATAGAAGACCTCTCTCCACCTCTCCCTGTAATTTTTGTTACAAATAAATCTTAAAAATTTTAATATGTTGTGTGTTCTCTCATATTTAAAATACCAGCTGCTTCTTGCTGACATACACAAATTCTGAAGACATTCAAAACTAATCTGTCAGTAACTGGGTAATACAGACTTTAAAACTTCATACCTGAATTCATTCCTACTGTTTCCATAGTTAAAATACCCTCTTCTCATATTAAAAAAAAAATTGTATTTTTTTAAGTTCATGTCAATTAACTCTTCTGCATTTGCCTCCCCAGAGAATTCTGAACCTGAAAGAAACTGGGTTCATTTTTTTCTGAAGCCATGTAACAATGCATACACAGCTGAAATACACTAGAATGACACTTAGACTGAATGTTACTATTTACCACGGACTGTATTAACTAACTGAAACTTCACAATAACCCCCGTAGATGTAAGGAAGCACACAGAAAACTAGGTAACTTGCACTCCAGTCCCCATGGCTAGGTGGCACAGAAGTAGACTGCACCCAAGACGCCAAAGTCCAAGGTACAGCCTACATTCCTACCCTCAACCTCTGCCCACCAGGACAAAGGAGCAACAACCAAACAACACGGACGCACATAAACAGCAAAACACCTGAAGTCACCACAGCCTAGCGTCTGAAGGCTCGAACTGCAAGTACTGGCTGAGATCCCATATGGACGCCGGTTCTAATCCCAGCAGCCCGGCTTCCCATCCAGCTCCCGGCTTGCGGCCTGGGAAAGCAGTTGAGGACAGCCCAAAGCCTTGGGTTCCTGCACTCGGGTGGGAGAGCCAGAAGAGCTCCTGGCTCCTGGTAGCTTTGGCCGTTGCGCTCATTTGAGGAGTAAATCAATGGACAGAAAATCTTCCTCTTTGTCTCTCCTCCTCTCTGTATAGATGACTTTCCAATAAAAATAAATAAATAAATATTTATAAAAAGAATCAATGAGTGAAATGAATGGAATGTGAAGTCACTCATGTTTTAGCGAGCGAAAGTACTGGGCAGTGAAGACAGAAGGCAAGAGGGAACAATGACACCCGGGGCTTCATTGTGAAACTTCTATTATTCTAAGCACTCGTGACATTGACAAACTCTTGCCTAAAATCACTTCACCGTTTAAGAGCATCCACAGGAGACATCGTGTCGCTTAGCCATTGCAAGCAGCCTACACCAACACACCACTTGAGAATCATAAGGTCAGCTCAGATAGAAACTACTAAACCTAGACTTGGGATATGTAATTCTAGTGTGGTCACTCTGCTTTTAGGGTCTTCAATCACCTCGCTGGTAGATTCAAGGATTTTAACTAAATTAACCCGTGTTATCAGCGCACTGAGCGTATGTGGAACACCTGTTGGAAAGGCTCTTGGCTACTTCTAAAACATCGTAAACTGTCGGAGCTTTGGATGGAACGTGGTCCGGACCGGCTTCCAGGCTTTTGGAATTCGGAGGGCAGGGGCAAGTCCGGCTTCCCTGAATCTCGCGAGCTGCTGTTTTTAATTTCTGTGGTGTACAGTGACCCAAGCCAGAATCCTGAGGGTCAAAGCAGCCTCAAGTCAAGAAGAGAGCCCAGAGAGTGCAAGAACTCTGCTGCAAGTCGCACAGCAAACAACTAGCCCCGCGTGCAGCCAGCGGCAGCCAAGGGGCGCCCCTGGTTACCTGAATCGGCCCCCATCCCGGCGGCGTGCAGCAGTCTGACCTCGGGCCGGCCCCGCACCACCTGCCGCAGGAGCAGCCGCACGCGCCGGGAGGCCGAGCCCCCGCGGCCGCCGGGCGCCCCGAGCAGCAGGATCCGAGACTGCATGGGGCCGGGGGGCGCTGTGGGGACCGCCGAGGGGGCCGGGCGCGCCGAGCCCTGCAGGTCGGCCGGCAGCGTGAGACGGCGCGGCAAGGGGGACAGGAAGCGGCACCGCGCCGAGTCCGCCGGAAACTCGTTCCGCCGGCGCGGGCGGCCGGGCTGGGTCGGGGCGGAGGGAGCGGGCAGGGCGCCCGGGGGCCGGCCCTGGCGCGGGGCCGCTGACCTTTCGCCCGCATTCAGCGGCTGCCGGCGGCCCTTCCCGGCGGCCCCTACGCCCTCAGGAGCCCCGAGGAGCCGCTGTCGGGCCGCTCCACAGACTGCTTCGTGAATGATCCTGTCTCGCTGGCCTGGGACACCGGTTCACCTCCTTTTCGGAAACTGACACAATATATATGATAGGAGAACTTTTCACCACTCCTCGTTGATTGTAAGCAACCTTTTCGGTTACCTGAAAGCCATTCTGCGTTTATGAGTGCTTCTGGAATCCTGAGTTTTCATTCACGGCTTAGTGATACGGGCAGAAATGGACAAACTACCGGAAAGGACCCCCAGCCGAACAGGTTTTCAGTCATGCTGCACTGCAGGGGAGTCACAGAAGGGAGGAATCTGGCCTGCCACAAGGCAGAGGAAACCTGAGGTAGTTATACGACATCCTGCTCGTGTCAGGAGTGGATGGAGCATGTGGAAGGTTGAATCCAGTTACAGAAACCAAAAGCAAACAGGAAAGACGCAGAGGAACTCACTTTCAGCTAAAGGCTTTGCTGGCTGTAGCGTTGAGGCTGTTCTGACGTCCATGTGCTATGTGCAAATGTCACTGTGACTGTGATGGGTGCCCAGAAGAAAATGCTGGAGGCGGAGGGGGGAGGGGGAGAGAACCTGCGTGCCATGACCAGCATTCCATACCTGAGCACCTGTTTGAGTCCCGATTATGCTGTTTGGGATCCAGCTTTTTCTAACGCATCTGGTAAGGCAGCAGTGGAGGGCCTAGGTTTTCAAGCCCTTGCCACCTGTGTGGGAAAGGCTGTTACTGGTTCTGATGGAGTTTGGTTTTGACCCTGCCTGGCTGAGACCAAGCTGTTGGACCTATTTGAGGAGTGGAACAGTGAATAAAAAATCTCTTCCTCTCTGTTTTTCCCTCCACCCCTCCGCAGTCAATCCTTCTGCCTTTCAAATAAGTAACTTTTAGCAAAAACATTATGGTGAAGAGGTTGGTTATGGAAAGACTCTGTGCAACTTGCTAAAGGACATGAACTTGAGAAATGAAAACTGAAACAGGCATCTGTCCTATTTATTGAGATAGTGAAAATAGAAGTGATAAGTATTTATACAGTGCATGACACTATGGTTTGATGTGTAACTTCTGATTTCATTTCCACAGCATCCCTCTGAGCCAACCAAAAGATGGCATAAATACAGGATTTAGGTGTGTAATATAATTTTTCCACTTTGAGCACATTATGTGCCAGACATCGTGATAACCACTTCAATGAATTGTGCTATTTCATATATTAGTGTTTTGATTAATGATCTATTAGAAGTGAAGAAACCTGGGCCTGGCACAGTAGCCTAGAGGCTAAAGTTCTCACTTGCATCTGCCCTGAGATCCCATATGGGCACCTGTTCATATCCTGGTGGCCCCCTTTCCATCCATCTCTCAACTTGTGGCCTGGAAAAACAGTGGAGGACAATCCAAGGCCTTAGGACCCTGCACCCATGTGGGAGATCTCTAGAAGAAACTCTTGGCTCCTGGCTTCAGATCAGAGCCGTTGTGGCCACTTGGGGAGTGAACCCGAGGATGGAAGATATTTCCCTCTGTATCTCCTTCTGTCTGTATATCTGCCTTTCCAATAAAAAATAAATATTTTTTTCATTGAAGAAACCTGATCTAGAAACCTTAAGACTGTTCAGAGCACTGTTTAAACTCACTGAAACTCAGTAAACAGCTGAGAGAATTGAAGAGCAATGTAAGAGCATTTGACACAATGGCTGATACGCTAACAGTTCTTGGAGTTAAGACAATGGGGAGAGCAACAGAAGTTGGTGTGCTCAGTAACATTCATGAAGCAACTTGCATACACGGTGCTCTGCTAGGCCCTGGGAAACACAGAAGAGCTACCAAACAGTACAAGACAGCAAGACCAGTGTACAAGACATGGGCTCCAGGTACTTGAGTATAACACTGCTTCCAGGAGAAGGTAATGTTTTAACTGATTCTTAAAGGAATCATCCGAATTTGTAAGGCTGAGGGAAGGGCATGTGAAATCTGGTCATGGGAAGAGTGTGTACTAAGCTTGAAGTGTAGGGCAAGACTCAAAAATAGATTTGGAGTGTCCAGAGATCACATGCATAAAGTAATTTGCAGAGACAATACCAGAGAGAGAAACTGAGGCTGTAACACATTCCAGGAGAAGGACCTGGCATCTTGGCCTCCAGGAAATGGATGGTTAAAGTGACAATCCACTAGATCACAGTGTGGAGGAAGTTCTCAAAGGTAACCCTCTGACTTCATTTGAATGATAGTTTAGAGTAGTGTAGAAGAGGAATAACAAGCATGGATAGAGTTTGGAGTCCCAAGAAGGGGCGATGAGACCAACTGAGGAAGAGGCAGTGATCTTTGGGAAGGAGTAAAGTGTGTTGCCAGAGGAAGAAAAAGATTATAGAGTGAGGCATCTAGAATGGTTTGATGATAGTGGAGTTTGTCTTCCATGTGAAGTAGGCACACATGGACATTGTTATCATGTTTGAGGTGGTTTCAGATACTATGGGTTGAGTTGGAAAGACAAGAAGCATTAAGTACTAGTGATATTATAATCAGAACAATCTCTACTTGTAACAACCAAGCCTTGCTGGGCACATTGAGAAAGAGTGGACCATAGTAATAGATGCCGTGATTAACCAAAGGAGTTTGGTTTTGAAAGATGTTCACTACAATCTGTACAACTTCTCTCAAATTATCATAAAATATCTGATGAGCACCAGCATCCCATATGAGAACCTGTTGAAACTTGGCTCCTCCACTTTTGATCCAGCTCCCTGCTAATGTGCCTGGGAAAGCAGTGGAGGATGGCGCAAGTGTTTAGGCCCCGAATTTGCCATGCCATAGTGTCAGCCACAGTGTTAGCCCCACAGTGTTAATGGTCATATCTGAGTGTCTAAATTTAGCTAAAACAGACCCATACCCTGGCAAGTTATTGAGAACATTGCAACAACTTTATGTCTGGATTCCCAGCATGTTAGCAGAAAGGTAACTCAGAAGTGGAGCAGCTGAGATTTGAACTGATGTTCTTATGGGATCCTGGCACTGTAGGCAGCTTCTTAACCTGCCTACCACAGGCTGGCCCCTATTTCATATCACATTAATATCATTTTATGGAAAGTGCACCTAATAATTCATCCATACTGTGTTCAGTTGGAAAAGGGTAAGTGACCTATTCCTCCTTACTGTCAAAGGCCTAAATCAATGGCTTCTAAACTTTAGAGGATATGCCAGTCATCTAGAAAATTTGTTTTTGTTCTTGGGGTTTTTCTCCAAGATTTTTTTGTGAGATGTACTATTTTCTCTTTTAAAAATTTTATCTATATAGAGGCAAAGGGAAGCAGGGGGTACAATGTCCCATATCAGTGCCAGTTCAAGTCCTAGAGGCTCCATTTCCCATCCTAGGGAATTTTTATCTATAGGTCTGCAAGCGTCCAGAAATATGCCTTTTTAGCAATGTCTATATGAATTCACTTGTATATCACATGTTCCAATCATGAAGCTGTACAGAAGTTCTCTCTCATGGATTTGTCTCTAAGATTGCTTTACCTTTTCATCCCTCTCAACATTTCTTTGTAAAGCAATTTGTAAGCAATCCCCCATCCATAAACAAAAACCATAAATAAAACTCAGCAGGAAGTTGGAATAAAGAGGAGGGAGGAGAACAAATGATGGCCCTTTTTTACAGCATGAAATTTGTTTGAACAAGGTCATAGGGAGGAAATCAGCCATGGGAAGACCAAGAACCATAGTTTTATTTAAACTCCACATATTGTTAGTTTGGTGAATCATTCTGTGACAGGATATGAAAATATCCTACCAAGTCTGTTAGAACCATGAGAACCAAATCCTTAACTTAAATTGTTATACACATACCTGGGTTTGAGGACTGGCTTCAATTCTATTCCAGATTCCTGATAATACGCAACCTGGAAAGTAGCAGGAATTGGCTCAAGTAGTGCAAGAGATCTGAATTGAGTTCCCTTATTTTCTCCAACCCTTGTTGTTTATGGCTTTTTGTTTGCTCTGATAGCAACATTTCTAATGGATGTGAGGTGATGATTCATCTCTTTTGTACTTAAATTTTCGTCATTTCTGTCTCTTACTGTCAACTTATGTCACTTTCGCTAGTTTCTTTGTCTTTACCTATTTAAAACTTCAGACACATGTGTCAGAGACAATGCTTGCTACCTTCAGACCACTTGTAGATATTAATATTGATAATTTTCAAAAGATGTGGTTAAACAGCCTAACGAAGAAATAGGAAGAGGTTTGGCTTAGGCAAAGCCCACTCAAAAATAGATTACAAAGAGGAAATAGGGTTATGTGGGCATTATGACATAAAGAAATCTCTTTTTCAGAACCAAATTGTTATGGTAGTCATTTAAATTTATATTTGGGTGGGAGGCAGGGAGAAGGAAGAGACAAGAAGGAAGAAAAGAAATGACTTTATACCAAACACACTGGACATCAGTGTAGTGACAGAAGTGTAACCAAGTACAGTTAGTATTAAAATGTAAATTTATTAACAGCTTCAAAACTACCTGAGAACATTTCTAAACTATTGAATTTTCTGCCTCAGCCATTTATAGACTTTTCTCATTTTAACACAACACTCTAAATTTAAGTGTGAATGAGTACCTAAAATTGTCATTGTGAATTGTTTGTGCTGTTACTAAATTAATCAAGATAACTTTTCTTTTAAGCTATTATACCAATTGGAATAAATCCTTCAAAAAGAAGGATTTGTGTTTCAATGAGCATTGATCAAATCTTTACTCAGAATATGTGAAGACCT